TTGAGCATTATTTGGTAACCAAATGTCAAGTTAGATAACAGCATCCTTTACGTAAACCTACTGTAACCTGACAGAGAATTTGCATAGAAACGACATTGTACCGCACAATATTGGCAGCACGTGTTTGACTGGCTCAGACGGCAGCCTTGTGGTTTCTCACCTCAGTGGTTGTGGGTTCAGTTCCCAGCCCTGTCTCTGTGCGTCTTCATATTCTCTTTGTATTTATGTGGGTTTCTCATAGTAATCCATCCCCTAGTTGAAATACATGCATTTAGGAAACCTGGTGTCTTTAATTTGACTGTAGTGTGTGTCCTTTGATGGACCAGCGTCCCATCCATGGTGTATCTGCCCAGCGCCCTGTGCTTCCTGAGTGGCTCCATGCTCACTGTGGTCCTGTACTGGATGGGGGGGCTTTATTACCCATCAGCCCCGGTCACTGGCTGCCGCCGCACAGAAACTCACACACACAACAGTTATCTGGGCAGTATGATGGTGCAGTGGTCAGCACTGCTTCCTCTCACCCCTGGGACTCGGGTTTGAGTGTCTGCCTTGGCTCCATGTGTGTGAAGTTTGCATGTTCTCTCTGAGTTGGGGGGTTTTCTAAAAAGTCCCAAACCGTGCTGAGGTGACCTGGAGGTACCGAATTGTCCATCGGTGTGAATGGTGTGTGGTTGTGCCCTGTGATGGGATATTCTCTGCCTTCTGCCCATAACCTCTGGGACAGGCTCTTAACCTCCTGAACAGGACAAGTGGTTACAGAAAATAGATAGAGGGATGGATTATTCTGGGTGTCTTAATGGTGAAATTTGATATTTCCCTTATAGCTCAGTAAAATTGTGTGATCAAGTTACTCCTCACAATAATGATCTTCAGCCTTGATCTGACTGATGATATTCATCCATTTTCCAAACTACTTATCCTACTGGGTGGCGGGGGGTCCAGAGCCTATCCAAGAAGCTACGGCACGAGACAGGGAACAACCCAGGTCGGGGGGCCAGCCCATCGCAGGGCACTCTCACAGACCATTCACACACACAAGCACACCTATGGGCAATTTAGTAACTCCAATTAGCCTCAGCATGTCTTTGGACTGTGGGGGGAAACCAGAGTACCCAGAGGAAACCCCACGACGACATGAGGAGAACATGCAAACTGATATGATTAGAACAATTCATTGCTTTGTTCAGAATTATAATTGTTCATTCTCATTTCAATTTCACTGCATAGGTAATAACAGTGGATGTGAGAGGAAATTTACACAGCATGGGGGGAACATGCAAGCCCCCCACAAAGAGCAGAGGCAGGATGTGATCCCCAACCCTGCAGGTGTGAGGTAACAGTGTTACACACTGAGTCTCTGTGTCTCCGCTTTCCAGTCACCAGCAGTATCAGGGTGTAAGTGGATCTGCTGTAGCTCTGTCAGGTCAGATTGGTTTGGAGTCTTGGGGCAGCACATCTGCGGGTCCTTGAGCAAGGCCCTTAAACCCCCAGCTCCATGGGCGCTGCTATGGGTGGCTGCCCTTCGTGGACAACTTACTCTACAAAGAGCAAGACAATTTCCTCATGCGGTTCAATAAAGTATTAATCAATCAATCAATTAATAGAAATAAATGAAACAGGTATTAACCAATTGGCTTTATGGAGTCCTCAAGTCCTGACGTTGCACCTCAGCACCTGCAGTGAGTCCCAGCTGCAGAAGTGCAGTCACTGTGCAGTCTGACTGAGGGAGGTTTTTGTACAGTATGGCTCTGTATCACTGTGTGAATACACCACCTCCATGTTCACTCTGACAGTAATAATCTCCTGCATCTCCAGCCTGGACTCCACTGATGGTCAGAGTGAAGTCAGTACTAGATCCACTGCCAGTGAATTGAGAAGGAGTCCCAGAGTTACGGGTATTTGCATAATAGATCA